ACGTAGTAAATTTTTGATAACACTGATGAGCTTTTAACACGTGTTCTCCGCCTCGAACGATAGCGACATGCTACTGCGATAGTAGAGATATAAAACGTTCGATAATCGTGCACAGGTATTCCAGAGATCGAACGAATCGTCAGGCATGCAATGGAAACGGGAGTTCTGTTTGATTCAAAAACTTGCACCTACAAAACCTATCCTATAATATTATACAATTACATAAACGTTATAAATGATTGTAAGAATTGATCAATTATAGTTGAATATGAAGAGAATATTCGATTGTGATTGGTCAATTCTTATAACTGCAACCACTTACAACTACACTTAAGCAATTTTAGAATAGACTTCACGCGATTGTATGATGCTTTCCTCATGTTGAAGTTAGACAAAAAAATATTCTTTCGATTAATATTTATAATTTAAGATTTATTTCCAAATTTATTCTTCTAGCGAACAATTTTCTGATGAATAGCGATATCTTGTGTCTATTAAATGCCCTGTATGATTCACGTTCCAGACGATAAAAATGGCATGTGGATTTCACCTTAATCCTTAGTATATACGATAATTTTCCAATCCTTTACCCATGATGAGTCATTCATGCTTCGCATTCATTTTTATCATTTTAACATAATATACAAAAATCATTAAGTGATTCTTACACATTTTTAAAAAGTATTTATAAGATTGAGTATTTAAAAGAATTGTATATAAATAGGAATTAAAGATCCATAACAATTGAAGATGAATCTTTAGTGTTTAAATAATTATGGACGTTTAATTCCTATTTCCTATTAATTGCATTTTCACATGTACGGTCTAATAAGATTCTCATTGTACATAAATATTACAACTAATTACTTACTGTTCCTAGTTTTTCAAAGAAAATTAATGTGCGGGACACAAAGGACCTAATCGTGTGTATTAAAGATTAACATCCAAGCAGTTTATTTAACAGGAATAGGACTCCAGTTTATTTAACGAGGAATATGGTAGTGTCGTGGACAATTATGGCAAGTATTCATAATCGGTTTTTATATCTGAGAGAGACCGTCTTAAATACAGTTTTAAGATATAAGCCAATTACAAAGTCGTATTAGCATTTCAAGGCATTACTCAGATGATCTTAAAAAAAGAATTGACCATGATGTAAAAAATAGGGTAAACCAATTTCAAGACTGTGAGAAATTGTATTCAAAATAACATTTGTGACCACACAATTAGAGGGTCAAATTTTGTAAGTCAATATATGTAATTAGAAATTTGCTTTCCAACAATGTCTATTCAGCTTCCAATGTTACACCTGATCTTTTTATATCACTGAACTCTAACGTTAAAATTTAGAACTCAAAAATAAATTGATCCCTACACTGATTCCTACTACACAATAAATATTAAGTAAATCATGAAAATTAACAGATATGGATACACAGCTCGCGGATCGATTCTGGGGCGAATCTGTGACAAGGTAAAACCGCTCCCAAGAGGGAGGAAGAAAGATCCCTCCTTTTGTTCGAGAAGTGGCAATTGGATGATGGATGAAAATTTAGGATTAAGAAAGCAGGCACTGATTGAAATACGCGGAGGAAGAGAGAGAGAGAGACAGAGAGAGAGAAATATGGAAGGACAGAAAAAGACAGAAATAGAGAGCGGGGGCAGAAAACCTCTTCGAAGCCAAATCGAGAGAGGAGGAATGAGAGAGAGAGAGAGAGAGAGAGAGAGAGAGAGAGAGAGAGAGAGAGAGAGAAAGGAGAGCAAGAAAAACGAAATGACTCTCCTCACGGTAAACTCGGTTGGCTACTCCTTCTCTCCTTCCCTGTTTTTTTGGACACTTAGGGCACCACTCGTGCACTCACCTACGCACACGCAACTCTCCCGCATGCATTCGTATAACCACATATAGGAACGTTACACGCAGGAGCTCCCCTTTTTCTCTCTCTCTCTCTCTCCCTCTCTCTTAGTCCCTTTTATATTCCGATAATAAATACGTACGTGTCGAGATGCATACATGCGAGCTAAGCCTCGGCGACGACGTCGGCGGTTGCGAGGACGCACGAGGACGAAGGCGATGACGGTGGCGATTGACAAGCAGTGATGATACAGTGGCGGTGATAGTAGTGGTGGTGACGGTGTGCGATAAGCGACGGGGCGGCAAGTATACGCGAAAACGGGCAGCGGCACCGACGGCACCTAGACCTCCGTCGGCGCGTGCGACGATTCGCGGGCGACGGCGAGACCTCGCCGGCGTGCACGGGAGAGACGTCCAGGACACGGCGTTCGCGCGTTGCGTGAATGATCACCTCCTCGGTGACCGTACATCGGCGGTGATGACGGGAGTCACAGCGGGTGCGGGCGTGCGCGCGCGCGCGCGCGCGTCCGCGCGAGAGCGCTCACGGTCGTTCGGTGTGTCTGTCCTTCCCGCCGCCGCCGCCCCCCCCCTCCCCCTCCACGGCCCTCCCGCTCGTTCGGTCCGTCCTTATGTACGTCCGTCTTTCTCCTTCTTTCTCTCTTCGCGGACACGACAGTTCTTTTTTTTTTTTTTCTTCTTCTTCTTCTTCTTCCCCCTCAGCTCTCACTCTCGCGCACGCACAAGGCCCGTTTTCTCACTTCCTTTCTTACTCTCGGCGGTTTTACCTCTTCCGATCGCCGTTTCTCTCACTTCGCCGCGTCTCTCTCCCTCGCGCGCGCTCTCCTCCTTGTCCGTCAGTAACCTAGAAAGCGGCCGCGGCGGCCATTCAGGATTACGGGACCTCCGTCCGTCCGTGCATACGTACGTCTGCCTTGCTCGTCGAGATCGAGTGACGGCTCTCTTTCGTTTTTTCTCTCTCTCTCTCTCTCCCTTCTAGGATCCCTAGGTATCTCGCGGTTATTCCACGTTCCTCTTCTTTACGTTCGGCGTGTATATACGCGAGGGGTCGAACGCAAAGATGATGCTGCTCACGCCGCGAGCGCATGCACGTTTCGTTCGCCTATCACAGCACGCTCGCTCGTGGTCTCCTTACGTTGCACGACGACGACGACGACGACTCCGAGCGGGCGTAGGCTAGGACGACGACGACAAGATCGTTCGGCGCGGACGGGCACGACACGCTCGCGACGCTCGCTCGGAGCAATACACGGCACCGACCGGCGCACGATCGCCAACGCCACGACGCTCTACTATCGACACACTGTGTGCTCTTCCTCTTTCTTCTCTGTCTGTCTCTCTCTCTCTTTCTCGCCAACACTGTACTCACTCCAAGTCACTGGGCGTACGATCACGATCGCACGACGCACACCCTCGCCACGGGCACGGCAGATCGGCGAGGAGCGACCGACTGTAGAGTCCCTTGGGTGTGCTCGAGGCGACGGCAGGCGACGGTAACGGCGGCCACGGCGACGACAGCGACGATCTCGATCACGACGGCAACGGCGAGCACGACGGCGTTGCGGTTAACGTTGCCGTATCGTGAGATACGAACGTGAAAAGTTCGCGCCTCGTACGATTGGGCCGATCCTCAGTGCTCAGGAATATTCGCCCATTTGTGACAAATTCCCGTCTCCGAGAAGCACCGCGTTAACGACCGACCATCCCCCACCTATCGCCGTGCACATATATCACGGGCACTTCGGTTTTTCATGATGGCGACGCGCCGTTGTCGATTCTCAAGATAGCGCACTAGTCGCCAGCATCAACCATTCAGCTTGCTGCGCGTATTTTAAATTCAACGCTGTTGACTTCAGAGGGCAAATTCGAGCATTTCGGAATTCGGAGTATCGAAATGCAAATCATATCGCGCGAAAGTTTCAAATCGATCATGTATCTTCGAAAATTCTGTACGTTACAAAATTCATTAAATTGTAAATAATTTACTTTAAATTAATTTGTAATTAATAATCAGTGCATAAAAATAATTGTTATTAATAATAATTGATAATTAATTGTTATTATGAACTATTATTAATAAGTACTATTAATAGTAATATTATTGTTACTAATAACCAATAATTACTAATATTATTTATGATATTTTTTATAATCTTTAATTAATAACAATTAAAGACAATAATTAACAATTATTATTAATAATTATAAACTAATTTATATTAAATGAATTATTGGCAATTTTTGTAATTCATTGTTATTATTAAAAATTATTAATTATTTATTTATAATTTATTTAAATATTTTGACTTCGCGCGAAATTCAATTTTTAATTTTACGACAAAATTATTTTTAGCAAATTCGGGCACGCTGCATTATTGTATACTGAAAACTATTAACTATCATATGAGAAATTAGCAGTATATAAATGTTTTTAATGATTAAGTATTTATTAAAATGATATTATTATATATATAATATAATTTTATTGTCAAAGTTGATTATATCATGACACTGTAATCGGATATCTTATAAAAATTAATTTGCTATCGAGACAACATCCCTAAGGGTCACGACATAAGATATTGTTTGAATTTACAAATTCAAGAAAATGGGAGGAATTTCTTTTAGAATCAAAATGTAATTTTTTTTAATTATATAAAGTCAACAATTTTTTCTTATTCCATGCACGGCAACATCATATGTTATTAAAATCCTAACATTTTTTCAGAAATCTTTCTAATTGGTATTCGAGGATTCAGTTTAAATTGAGCATTTTAAATATTTAGCTAGAAATATATTAATTGAGCAACTTTTTCAATTTGACGGCTAAAGTTCAAAGATTAAAATTATATAAGTTTGTTTGTGAAAAACACTTGTTATAACTAACTTCTTGTAACAATTGAGGAAAATGTTCGAACTCGTTAGAATCGCGAATAGCGATTAGAATTGATTCGTTTTGGTTTTGGAAATAAAACAAAATAGGAAATGAATAAAAATATAACTCAAATTACCTAGTATATTATAATTCTACATGAATACATATTTTTCAAATACAGTATCTTAAAAAAAACACCAAACACGTTGTAAAGAATTTTGCTGAAGTAGAAATTTATCTCTCAACAAATATTTAATTAAGAGCAAAATATTTTTGCAACAGCTCCTCATATATGTCTTTATCAGTGTCCAGAAATAAGCAAAAGATGACTCTATCCACCTGAAAAATTATGATAAAAGTTTTACGTGTACTTTTGATTGTAAATATTGAAGTAACAATTTGATAAATGTGCATGTGCAATCTTACAGTATCTTTGTTATCGAGGAGAAACTTTTTAACGGTCGATATAGCTACTTTGGCCGCTGGCCTTTGTGGATATCCGTAAATTCCAGTTGATATGCATGGAAATGCAACAGTACGCAGACGATTCTCTTTAGCCAGAGTGAGACTATTCTCGTAACATTCTTTTAATTTATCCGGTTTCTCACCTTGTGGACCAACCGTGTGGATAATATCTGAAATAAATAAAAAATTTTGTCTCGATTTAATTAAGTTAATTTTATAATAAGATATAGATTGTGCACTCTTGCAACAAATTATTTACATTTAGCTGGCAGCTTGTAACCCCCTGTGATTTTAGCATCGCCAACTCTGCATCCTTTTAATGTCAAGCACTCCTTCCTTAAATATGGTCCTGCTGCTCGGTGAATGGCTCCGTCAACTAAAATGTTTGTTATTATTTCATACATAGAAGCATTTTATATCTTACGAATATACAAAGGTTGCATTCAACAGATAAAGTAGCTTTGCAGCTGTTATAAAAATGTAAAATTCATTAATATAATTGACCTTTCAATATAACATTGTCCTTAGTTCCTTACTGGATCTGAATAAATAATCAATAAATCAATTATATTAAAGAATTTTACAATAGTTACAAAGCTGTTTTTTTTCTGCTAAACCAATCAAAATTTGTGAAAATATCTTATACCTCCACCACCTCCCAAAAGACTCGAATTGGCAGCGTTGACAATTGCGTCTATCTCAAGGGACGTTATGTCTCCTTGCCACATACATACTTTCTTAGCTAGGACCTCATCAACTTTTTCAGCCTTTTCCACAGTCTTGATAATATTAGATTTGTTTTTATCCCAGTACTCTGACCATGTAGAAATCTGATCGAGAGCCGTTACCTCTCCCTTGTAAAAACTTCTCTTTTCTTCTGACGGCATGTTCAAGAACTTTTCTATTTACAAAAATAATGGAAAGAGACATCAGAATACTTTACGGTCCCTCAAGTGTTCTCCATTTAATTGATCATTCACTGAAAGCGATTCCTTACGTTTTTCATCTTCGAACGGCATCTTCCCTTCGGGTTCGATGAAAGCGGCCGAGCTGTTCCTCAGAAGGAAATTTCCAAGGATACGAGTGCTTCTAAAGGAGCAACTAACAACGGTCGCCTAGAAACCAAAAGCAGCGTTCTCGCAACTCTTGGAAGTTATGCGGTGCCAAATGCGCTCTTCTGCCTTACTTTCAAAGCCAGCATATTTCGCGAGAAGATTTCCCTCTGAAAGACCTCTTGTCAATCATCAATGGCACGTTTCTGCGATTGACCGTACAGTGTCGTTGCAAATTTTGTCGTATATTTTGAGAACTTAAATCGTCGCGAAATCACAACCCTCCTCTCTCGCTTGCAATCGCCAACAATCGCAATTACGCTGATCAATGATTCTGGCCCGGGCCCCGGTTTGGTTTCTCGAGTCTCGATTAGTCGGCAATGAAACTGCCGACACTGCCGTCGCCATCTAGCTGATCTGGCAACTTCACTGCTCTTTGCTCTGAGTCTGCATAAGTAGCGTCATCTAGAAAATGTAGAAGCAACTTGAAAATATTTCGCACGAAGATAATACCCAATGATAATATGTTTTAATTATTGTCTATCATTGGATAGGTATATAAGGTATCTTGATAGAAATTAAATTATTATTTAAATTATTACGGTGAAAAATATTATTTAAATGGATAATTTTATTTAAAATTATACTATCACAAATAACAATATGTATAACAGAATCTATATATATTTTTTTATGTTTAAAAGTTTGTTAAATTAAAAAATATTTGTAGAATATCAAAATTGCGATTAAGCAAAAATATTAAAGAAATATATATGTATATATTTTGCCAATTTTTTAAAGAAGTCGCTAATATATATTTGAAATGAAATAAAAATTACAAAAATAAGAAAACTTATAAATATTTATAAATCTTAATCTCAATATTTATGATTTTAATGGTCTTCATATCTAATAAATATCGCCCACTTTTATAATTATTTTATCTTGTTTCAAAATGCACAACTTCCTGTCGTGGGCGTTAAAATGGAATTAAAAATGTTAAATTGTGATTTAAAATTATACTGATCAAAATATATAAATCTAATTAAATAAGAGAAATTCTATTTTCACGGTCAAAGCAGATTTTATAGTATTTAAATATTTCGATTAAATTTATATACATGTAATCCGCGCGCCGAAATCTTGTTCAGTCTCGAAACGCAATCATGAATAATTAACTAGAGTAGTTGTAAGAATTCTATAATATCGAATTCTATAATATCGAATTCTATAATAAAATATTAAAGACTATATAATATTATATTAAAAATAAAATAAGAGGTAATGATTCATATCAAAACTTTTTCTTTCTCTTTTCCATATACGTTCATATATTATTTTTATTTTCACAATATTTTCAAAGATCGATAAGAAAAAAGTGAAAGGAAGTTAACTCCTACTCACTCCCACGTATAAAAGGTGAAGAATCGTCACAAAACAAATAGACGGTCACTAATTATTTACGATAATAAATCAATATTAATAAAGATGAATGAATGAATAATTAAATGTCACATTGTTGCGTCAGTTCAGTTATTATTAACAGCACTTGTCAAAAAGAACAAACAACAATGTATTATATATGTTACAAACAACAATCCTATATGTAACATAAAATTTCAGTCTATTATGTGTCGATTTCACGCAATCGCGGATGATTTAGACAATTTTATTACAATTATAACTCAAACTGTAATGAGAGAGAGACAGAGAATCGAGATTCGCGTGGGTGTCTATATATTCGTGGGTGTTTGTAGGTTTATATGAAAATATGCCTCTATAGCCCAGAGACGTTAACCCATTCCATTTGGCATATCTATCGAAATGCTCTCGGCAGTCACGTAAATGCCATAGTTCTGCTTTATACTGTAACCAAACCGGCTGCACTTACTTGAGCAGAATCCCAAGATAAATCCCGAGAGAAATTTTCCACGAGAAATAGACGTAAGGTTCTTGTGAGAGCTAATTTACTTTAAGCACTTCGAAATTGAGTTTACAATTGTATGAACTACTTGTAAAGACATAACTTTGTTATGAATTTTATACACTTTTCCTTAAATTATAAAAAATATCTAATTCACTATATTTAAGAAGAAAAATTTTTTACGTTCCTCTAATTGTCGCACATATTTTGTAAATGTTATAATACTTATAAATAAGCAGCAGACTTCAAAATGTATTTTGTCCAAAATTTTATTTTTTGAGTTATAGGTAGCATAGTGTTCAATGTTGAGAGATTCATATTTTAAGCTACTCTATGATGTTCTGAAAGCATTTCTGTGACATCAATTTACGTGCTGAAAAAAATTTTTTTGACATTTAAAGTGCATTATATCCCTTAATTAGAAACAAGCAAAATGTATTTGTTTAACCTTTTTTAGCAACTGTTTAACAGTTTTGTTGAACGTTTCACATTTTAGTAATTGGCGAATTGTTATTTTTTGTAAAGCACGCAATTTTCTTGTGACTTTCTTTCTCATTTCCTGAAAATTATAAATTTAAAAAAAACGACTAGAGTTGTTTAAGTTTAAAATAGTATGTTTTAAACAAAAAATTTCATTTCATTTGTAGAAATGTAATTGAATATGAAAATATAAAATCAGGTGACATTTGTATAAAGAACCATATGATTCAACAATTAGATAAATTGAATATTTTCAATAATTTAAGAAAACATGCATGAAATTCGTAACTCGACAATAAAAACGTCAACTAATGTCAAATGACGACAACATCAGTCTTTTTTTATTTGTTAGGAATATATTACAAGAGAGGAAAAATCAATCGCACAATTATACTGGATATATAGTTACAATATTGATATACAATATATATAGGTACAATATAGATTCTCTAGAACTTTCAAAATAAATCTCATTAGTAAAATAAAATCTTACTCTGAAAATTAAGCCATTCTTTTTCAAAACTGGCTCAATTTTTTACTCTTTAGAAGGAATTTTTACTCCAAAGAATTTACAGAGAATATAATATAAATATGAAAGATACAATTCATTATGCGTTTACATTACACTGCACGTAATTTTCGCAAGTCGTAATAACGGAATCTTTAAGATGTTCAGTGGAAGCTACACGTTTACCTAATTTGAAAAGAGATTGAACGATCGACAGGATTTTGAACTTTCGGATAGCGAGCCGCCCACGTCAGGTCACCGAAATACGAGATCCCGGCACGTATTTGTCTGCAGCAAGACCCAATTGTACTACTACATCGCGCCTGTGCCTCATCACGTCTTCGCCTGCGCAGCGAGAATAAAAAAGTAGCGGAAGTTTCTGTCGGAGCTTGCACACGAATTATTACGTGACACCCGGTGTGTTAATGATTAGAAAAGTTTCGAAATATATCACGAAATAGATTGTACGAGATTACATCTTTCCTCTCAGCAAGGAAATTTATGCGAGTAAATAAAAATTAAACTTTCCCCTATTATAACTCAATTCTTTTTTTTTTTTAAATAAAAGATACGCATTTCAGATCAGTAATAACGAGCGCACGGAAATATGAAAACATTATTGGACTGTGAAGCAAATATTATAAATGCCCGACTTATTTTTTCAAGCAAAATTATTTCTCGGTGTATGTCAAAGAGAGAAAAAATTGTAATAAGGATTTTAATTTCTACTGATAAAAAGAATGGGATAATCTAAAGTAAAATAATTATCTTATTGAAAACGACAAAAGAAATCGGAGGTTCTTTTCGAGAAATTTTATCTCGATGTCGCACATTTACATTTATACTTGCGCAAATTTATGTAGAGTTCTTCCCAAAGAACACAAAGTTAATAAAAAATTAAATGATTTTATCTTACAAAATAAACAATTAAATTTTGTAATATAAAATTATCATTTTGATTTGATGTCATGACGTCAAAATAAAATCATTTCGATTTTCTTTTCGACTTTGTGTGCTCCTTAGGTTGCATGTAGATTCGATGCACGCTTAATGTGAATGAACAGTCTCTGACAACGAGACGGCTGATACCAACGTCGATGCTGACGCCGACACCGACGACGACGTCATCGGCGGGGAAACGGCGCTGGTGGCACCGGTGTAGTGCTTTTCTCATCCTGTTGTGCAGAACGGCAGCCGCGTAGTAGCGCATGCTGAAAGCTGTCCTATCGATCCGTCCTGCCTACGGCTCCGAGCTTTCTCTTGCTTCTCTTCACAAGCCTCGCGAACGTCGCTACCGAGCAACCGTCCCGGCATACGTTATATCGGGCAAAATTTTATATATATAGATATATTTCCGTGTAACAAAAAACATATTCTTCCTCCTTCTTTCGTTTAGTTTGAAGAAGTGCACCAAGAAATAGAACCAGCAGCGGCAGCGTTATGGCACGTCGGAGCGAATACTGCAGGGCGATTTTTCTATTGTGTGAGTTTTCTCAAAGAGAGAAAATGTCGTGATCAGGAAAGAAGTGCATTGATACGTGTTTCCGCTATTATCGTAAGGAGCGGATTGTGCACATGATCATGAGAATGCATCAAGTTTAATTGCCATTTAAGTTTTAGATGCATCGAAGATGCATTGTCATTTAAATGGAAAAAGTCTTACGACGATTATGTGAGCGAGTCTTTTTATGGTGTTTTAAGTTTACACGAAGAGAATAGTATAAGAATAAGCTAAAAATATACGCGAAACGATAAAAGATATACACAAAATTATTTCTTGTTCCACATGACATGTTAAAGACTTATGAAAAGTGTCAATAACTGGATATAATGAAAAAAAGCTCATTGAAGTTCTACGTTATCTGTCTTAAAAAAATGATCAAAATTAGCAATACTTTTAATGTATATCAATGTACTTAATTCCAATAGAATTTATAATTGTAATTCACAGTTTTTAAGATATTACTTTCTTGGTATTTTAATTCTATAATTGCGTGACTCTATAATATTGTAGATATTATTGATTTGAATATATAAATATTACAGGAAGACAAATAATTGCCTTTTGACGTGATAAATGTCATTTTAACAAAATGTCACGAGCTAAAAACTTTTAGATAAGTCATGCGAGTGCTTCTTTCTTACGATCACAAAGATATAAATATAATTTATAATCTAAATACGTACACATCTTTTTATTTTTTAAGATACGTCACTGAAAAAAGGTCTGATAATAGCTATCCAATGTTGAGTGAAATAATTTCAATCAAAATATTCGGTTAACACGATAAAAAATATTTTGACTTTTCTAAATATTTAGTAATTATTATCAAAAATACTAATTATTACTAAATTTTTTTTTTTATATATATTATATATTATGTTTGATAATGCTTCATAAATATATTTAATAAAGTAAAATTACTTTTCATTATATTAATCAAACACACACACACACATTTGATAAAA